TTTGTGTGTTGCCTTAATAAACAGAATTTTCTTACCACTGTAATGGTTCCTGTATGGACTGTGTGTTAAATCAGTATCACCTGGATGTGTGATTAGTTCTGATATCTTTATACAACTTTTCTTTTTTTTTTTTTTTTTTCCATTTTTCTTTTATTATTCATATGTGCATACAAGGATACAAGGCTTGGTTTATTTCTCCCCCCTGCCCCCACCCCCTCCCTTACCACCCACTCCACCCCCTCCCGCTCCCCCCCTCAATACCCAGCAGAAACTATTTTGCCCTTATCTCTAATTTTGTTGTAGAGAGTGTATAAGCAATAATAGGAAGGAACAAGGGGTTTTGCTGGTTGAGATAAGGATAGCTATACAGGGCATTGACTCACATTGATTTCCTGTGCGTGGGTGTTACCTTCTAGGTTAATTCTTTTTAATCTAACCTTTTCTCTAGTTCCTGGTCCCCTTTTCCTATTGGCCTCAGTTGCTTTAAGGTATCTGCTTTAGTTTCTCTGCATTAAGGGCAACAAATGCTAGCTAGTTTTTTAGGTGTCTTACCTATCCTCACCCCTCCCTTGTGTGCTCTCGCTTTTATCATGTGCTCAAAGTCCAATCCCCTTGTTGTGTTTGCCCTTGATCTAATGTCCACATATGAGGGAGAACATACGATTTTTGGTTTTTTGAGCCAGGCTAACCTCACTCAGAATGATGTTCTCCAATTCCATCCATTTACCAGCGAATGATAACATTTCGTTCTTCTTCATGGCTGCATAAAATTCCATTGTGTATAGATACCACATTTTCTTAATCCATTCGTCAGTGCTGGGGCATCTTGGCTGTTTCCATAACTTGGCTATTGTGAATAGTGCTGCAATAAACATGGGTGTGCAGGTGCCTCTGGAGTAACCTGTGTCACAGTCTTTTGGATATATCCCCAAAAGTGGTATTGCTGGATCAAATGGTATATCAATGTTTAGCTTTTTAAGTAGCCTCCAAATTTTTTTCCAGAGTGGTTGTACTAGTCTACATTCCCACCAACAGTGTAAGAGGGTTCCTTTTTCCCTGCATCCTCGCCAACACCTGTTGTTGGTGGTGTTGCTGATGATGGCTATTCTAACAGGGGTGAGGTGGAATCTTAGCGTGGTTTTAATTTGCATTTCCTTTATTGCTAGAGATGGTGAGCATTTTTTCATGTGTTTTTTGGCCATTTGAATTTCTTCTTTTGAGAAAGTTCTGTTTAGTTTACTTGCCCCTTTCTTTATTAGTTCATTAGTTGTTTCTGGCTCTTTCTCTAAGTCAGAAGGCTAGATTTTATGTTCATGTGCTTTCTTTGTTTTTTTTTTTTTTAAGAGTGACAGTTCATGTATGGATGATTTTACTTCTTTCCCCCTCACCTCAACAATTGTCCACTTGACATTATAACAATTTCCATCTTTCATTAAGTGCTTTCTTTCTGCCAAACACTGTCTGAGTGTTGTCTCCTTTAATGCTCACAATGGTCATGTGACATAGCCACTGTTATATCACTGTTCTATTTTTACAAAGAGATAAAGGAGGTTCAGAGATACAGCCTTGTGCTGGGCTCATCAGCTCATGAACAGTGGGCCAGGACTTGCACCAAGCCTGTCTGTCTTAACTGCCTATTCTCCTTTCAGCTCAACTCCTTCATGGAAACTGAGAACTAAGCATCTAGGACAGCACCTCACATATAGTACTCATTCAAACACACATTTTTAAAGTTTTGAAATCAACTTTCTTGCAGTGTGAAACACGTAAAATGAAAAGCATTTCTTTTATGCATATGGTTCTGGAAGTTTAGACAAATAAACCCATGTTATATGTTACCACAATCAAGAAATGCTATATTGAAATCTCCCCTCAAGAGTTTCTTTGTTCCTTTTCTTGGGACAGTTTGGGGAGGAAGGGCAGTATTTGGGTTTGAACTCAGGGCTATGTGCTTAGAAGGCAGGCATTCTACCACTGTGCCACACCTCCAGCCTTTCCATGCGTTAGTTTATTTTTCAGATAGAATCTCATGTTTTTGCCCCTTGTGTGGGTTGTCCCTTTTTAAAAACTTACTTTGAAATTATCATAGATTCACAGGATATTGTAAAAAAATATAGCAGCACCATATACCTTTATTGAAGATTCCCTAGTAATGTCCATATACTCTGTAGGCCTTACACCCTCATGTTCCTTTATAATTACTCTTTGCTTCTCTTGCTCCAGAGAGAATAGTTCTTTCACCGTAAATTAGTTTAACCAACCTGTTCAAAAGTTTTATGCATTATGAAGTTTTATGCATTTATGAAGTCATCTGAATGTTTTTTATTTTGTAATGTATGAAAATTAATCACATGGAAATAAGAGTGGGATTGTTAGACTATTGGCTAGAGAAGGTTTAACTTCATAAGATGCTACCAAATTGTGTTCCCAGAGGATAAATTGCTTTATATGCTTGCTGGCAGTGCCTGAGATTACTTGTTGTTCCCCAACCTTTCCAACATATTTGATTTTTTTTCAGTCTTTTTTATTTTTATTTCAGTGGATTTGTAGTGGGATCTTACTGTGTTTTAATTTTTGCATTTCTACTGACTGCTGCTGACGTCAACATGTCTTCATGTGCTTACTGATCATCCATCTATATTCCTTTGCCAACTATCTGTCCAGAAGTTTCCAGTTTGCAGAGGCATAGTGGTGAGCGGGTGTTTGTTTTCTTCATTCAGTAAAGAGTTTGTAAGTGATTGAGTGACTTAAAATTGACACATGTGTATGTAATTTTCTTTGGACCACTTGAACCTTGGGTATAAACTCAAACAAAATAGTTCAAATGGGGTTACTGTAGTCTATTACAGAATGAGCAAGTGTGGCAGGCAATCTGATTATGTATGTGACATTAAAATAATGATCAGTATGAATATCATCTTAACCATCTCTTCTTCATTTACTCTTTACCACTATGAGGAAGTTACCATCTTCTCACATAGTTAATTGTTTCTCTAAGGCTAAAAATGCTCTTACCTAATTTTTATTTTTGTCTAAAAATGGAAGGACAACTTTAGCCATGCTGTTTTTAGTTGGCATTGAAACATCTTTCTCCATTAACAGTGAATGCTAGCTAAGTCGAGCTATAAACCTTCTGTTGATCCTGTAGACTGTAATTTGTGATTATGATTGTTTTTAAAAAAATATCTTTTTCTGTGACACATTTGTTAGCTTTTCTTTTGTTTTGTTAAGTATAAAGGATTTCAAAGAAATAAATACACCAACCCACTTAGACAACTGTGACTCAAACAACAGCAACAATAATAAACAAGCAATATGGATGTGGTGATTCATGCTTGTAATTTCAGCTACTCAGGAGGCAGAGATCAGGAGGATCTTAGTTTGAGACCAGCCTGAAAAGATTAGCCAGATTTCCATCTCAGTCAGTAAACCAAGCATGGTGACACATGACTGTGACCTAGCTGTGATGAGGGCATAGATAGGAGGATTGAAGTGTGAGGCCAGCCTGGGCAAAAACTCAAGACCCTACCTGAAAAATACCTGAAGTGCAAAGGCTGGGGCATGGCTCAAATGGTAGAGCACCTCCCTGAGTTCAAACCCCATTACCTCAAAACCAAACAAACCAACTAACCAAACAAACAAACAAGAGGCAATATGTTACCCCTAATATTTGAAAGCAATGCAGGAAGAAAAGATGTATGTGTTGATATCTATCTATATGTAAAAATAAAGAACTGAGTCTTATTTCCTTAGCTCAAAGTTTTTCCCCTAAAGTAAGTAGATGTCCAAATTATGTTATGATTCCCTGTATTAATAAATGCATGGTCTCTCCTTTTTTTATTTTGCATTTTCTTTTATTTTTTGGTGCTGGAGGTGGGACTCGGGGCCTCACACATGGTTAACATCTCCTCTACTGCTGAGCTATCATCCCCCATCTCAGAGCCCCTCTCCTTTGTTAAATTCCTTTGCACACACGGGCACACACACACACACACACACCCACCCTAAATTGTAAAGACAAGCACTGCATAATCTTGCTCACATTGGTGTCATAGTGGTTGAGAGAAAAATGGTGGTAAGCAGAGGCTGGGGAGGGTGGGATGAAAGGGGATGGGCAGAGGTTGGCCAATGGATACCACATCAGAGTTATTAGGGCAAGAAGCTCTGATGTGCTACTGTGCAGTAGGGTAACTAGAGATAACAATGATGTACTCTGCATTTCAAAAAGCTAGAAGAAAGGATTGTGGAAGATTTTTTTTTTTGCCATAAATAAATGAGAAATGTTTGAGGAGATAAGCAGGCTTGCCCTGATTTTAACATTGCTCAATGTACATGTGCATGTAGACATTACATGGTATCCCTAATAGGATTAATATGTACAGTTTGCACTAAATTTTAAAAAGCAAAAAGGAATGAGACATTGGCCAGTATTCCACACGTTCCTCCCCAGTGTCAGCAACAGGAGGATCTCGCTTCTGCAGAGTAGTTCTTGTGTGGATGGCCTGAGCCTCAGTGAATCCGTCTCTTAGGCCGTTGCAAGTTTTTTGCTTTTATTTTTATTCATTTGCTGTTATGCAAATCCTATAGGAAATGCTGCTGGTGATCTGAGCAGACTTTTGTAGGGTAAATTCCTACCAGTTTGAATCCCTGCTGGAGGAACACTTTCTAAGTTGACAGTTACTGCTGGATTGTCATGTGCTCTTGCACCAGTAGCATCTCTAAGTGTGGCACCTATTGTCAGTGTAATAGTCTAGATGAAATTGTTATTTTAGCCTTCTAGAATTATGAGCTAGTGCCCCACATGAGCACTGGCTTATCTTTACCTCATTGTTGCTTGCTTTTCCTCTGCAGAGGGAAACCTGTGCACACCGTCCTGTGACTGAGGAGGGGTAGACTAGAATTGCTGTGTATAGCTTTCTCACACACAGTTCCCGGGCTGCTTGATCTCCAGGAAGCCCTTTTATTGATGTGTTTGTTCTGTGTGTTTGTTCTGTAGGAGGAAGGCTCAACAAGGACCTGCGACACTTTCTCAGTCAGCGCTTCCAGAAGGGGTCTGCAGATCATGAGCTCCAGCAGATCATAAGGGACAATCTGTACCGCCACGCTGTGCCTTGTAAGTAGCCAGTCTTTGACATCTTGCTGCTGGATGGATAGGTGAGAATTCAGGGGGAGAAAGAAGAACAGCTGGTTTTGGAACACTTGGTGGCTTGCCCGCCTAATGATGTCACAAGTCAAGAAAATCACAATTGACAGTGGGACCAACAACATAGTGTCATGGTGTGCCTGAGTTTTAGTTAGACTCTGCCACTTACTAGTATGCAGTGGTGACCACTGCAAACCTCTGGGAGGGTTACTTTTGGATTAGAGGGAAGGACATGCCAGTAATGGTAGCATCGTAGAACTGTCATGGGGGGTAAATAGAATGAGACATTTACATTTTGTAAAGTACTGGCAGAGTGTAAGGGTCCAGAGATGTTATTCACAGCTGTCATTAATGGAGGAACCAGGCCACAGGCCCTTAGACTCACCTTTGTGAGACTCATTGAGTCCCTAGTGGTCTCTCCCTTCGGTGAGAGGGACTGCAGTGGACGCTTCCCTTCTGCCCCATGCTTCTCTTCCACTCAGCCAGTTGGACAAACTCATAAGGCAGAGTTATTTGAAGAAATGATTTCCACATACTAAAAACAGAAGTTCCAAAACCCATTTGATTGATTACACCAAATCTGAGAAAGCATGATACAGGGCATAACAAGTCTGAAAGCAGAGCTTTTGTGTCACAGGAAGGCACACAGGCAGTCTGTCTATGTGCCTGCCTGTGTCTGTCTATAGGGAGATAAGTTGGCAGCTCGACTGTGGTGAGGAATTACCATGTTCTACCGCACTGTGTTTCTGTTCAGGCTAATCATAAGATGTGACTTTTGGGAATACATGGTGTTTAATTTCATTCAAAATACAAGGAAAGAATGGTTCTAGTTTTAGTACTTGAAATTTTACTTTTTCCTTTCTGTTACTCAGTCCTTTAAAGTTTGATGGTTTCTCTCTCTCTCTCTCTTTTTTTTTTTTTTAAGAAATATCATTTTTAACCCTCCCACCAAAAGGAGCAATACTTCAGTGTTCATTCTATCCTGCTTGTTGCTGTGGTTTGTTTGCTATAAATGGTTTTCTTTAAAAGAATGTTTTTTGAAAGTGATAAGCTATAGTGCTAATGTTTCCTCATACTACTGTAAAATAATAAATGGAACGAATCTAAGACACTCCATAGATTTACAAGGACCCAAGGGTAACTCTAGACTGTGACCTGAAGAGGTCAGATTTAGAATAGCCTCCCCCCCTCCCCCAGCCCGGCCCCCCATCCATTTTACTCATTAACAAAACGGGCTCTGAGAGGAAAAGAGATAAGTAACTTGGGACAAGGCCCCAGGGTTGCCACTCTTCACTGAGTGGTGGGGTTGCATCTAACAGAGAATAGTTTTGATGCTAATTTAGTGTGAATCTGTGGTACTCACTTTTTTCTGTCTTTCAGTGTTGGAGTTGAGAACTGTAATTCCAGTAATATCTGCATAATAATTCCATATATTTTAGCTCCGTAATAAATCCTAATCCTAATCCTATGGATGGGGCAAGAATTTCCGTTCTATCTTTATTGAGAAGAAACTGAGGTATTAAAGTAAACCAGGGATTGGGGAAGGAGGAATAAAGGAGAGTGATGGAGGGGTGAATTCAACCATGATAAATTGTAAGAAATTTTGTAAATGTCACATTGTACCCCCAGCACAACACTGATTAAAACAATTAAAAATAATAAGGTAAACCAGTGAGAACAAGGCTGTATGTGAGGAAGGCATGAGTGTCTGCCTTTACCACACTCTCATGGTTTACTCATACAAACCTTTTGAAGGTGGAGGTCTTTAACACCAATTTTACAGATGAGGAAACAGAGTCACAGAGAGATTAAATTACCTACAGGAATAGTGAGCCTGGGTTGTGTTTCAAGCAGCACAGTGTGAATGCAGTTTTGCAGAACTCAGTAACTCCAGATTCATGATTGTACTCTGTTGTAATTTTTGCCCTGCTTAGATTCCAATTTAAGAAATGGGGATGAAGCAAATGAGCACACCATTTCTTGACACATCTGTGGTGTTACTATGGTTACATTTTGGCAAGCATTCCCATTTATTTTTTCCGCTGATTTATTGGACCTGACTGTGAGCTAGATGGCTTCATTTGAAGTATACCACTATGTAGGAATTGGGGCAAAAATGACCTCAGTCTTTAAAAACAGTGGAAAAATCATGTTTGTCTTTGCTTGTAGAAAGCACTTGGAATTGGTGCTCTATTTGTACGAAACCACTAAGTCAAGAATTTGGAAAGCAGAAATGGTGTTCCTACTGAAAGACAAGTAACAACTCATTATATATTTCCTCCATAAAGTGGGAAGGAAATTCAGGAGAGGTCTGTTTCTGGGGCTGGTATGCCTTTTAACGTGAATAGTTCAGGGTGCTTTGGGGTACTGTTTCAGGCTTGAATTACTCTGGCCACATTTTTGTTTATTTTGATTCTTTGTGACTGGCAAAGCAGAGCTCTCTATCAACCCGCTGTGCTTATGGATGCAGAAGCCCTGGCTGGAGGTTGTTGTAAGTGGGCCACAGGGAACCCAGTTCATGGAATCTGTGTATTCCAGAACTTCCTGCCGCTGCTGCTCAGTTACTTCAGTGTTTTGAGAAGGGATGACCTCATGAACAGGTGCTTGATAGTAGGGGGTAGACTGTTTTTCCTGTACTTTTTAGGAGGCATATGGGTTTTAGATAGGAAGAAAGTAAAGCTCCCCATTCCCAAATTGTTTCAACATGGTCAGAATGTACTTCAGGTGGACATTCCCATTTAGAGTTCAATTTGATTCTGTTCCTTGATAAAGACAATGTGCATAACAGCAGTCCGGTTTTACAGCTTGGAAGATGGAACAACAAATTTAACTTCCTCCCAACTATACCGCTTCTAAATGCCACATTACTCACTTCTCACCCACTGATGTTGTTATTTTTTAATTTTTAACAGCTTTATTGAGATATAGTTCACATACGATGTAATTCATCTAATATGTTCATCCAACGCTATTTTTGTTACAGTTATTATTCTTCACTTCCTTTTATTCAGGAACTTTCATTATTCCTACAGTATGAAAAAGGTCAATGTAGTGGAAATGTAATTATGCTTACCATTGAAAATTACCACCACCACCCTCAAAAAAAAAAAAAATGAGGACAGAAAAGAGAACCGGATGTAGAATGAGTCAGAAGTCTGGGTTGCTCTGCTAGCACTGTGGCCTGGTGCAGGTCATATAACCCCTCTGAGGCTCATTTACTCATCTGTAAAATGGAAATAGTAGCCCCAACTCAACCACTATCTGTCCAGTTACACACAGCAGCCCTGTGAGCTGGGTCTCAATGGAGGTTAATGGTGTCCCTAAGACCACATAGTCAGCAAGTAGCAAGGTCAGGTTAATCCATGTCACTCTGCTTCCCAAATTGGATATAATTAAAAATAGCCTCATTTGATTAATATAGAGACAGACAATTGGCAGTAAAAGTAAAAAGGAAAGATTTCTGATTGACAAATATAAGGGCTTAGCTGTATGAAATGATGGAGTATTTGTCTTGGAGATAGGAGTGGTGTAAGTCATGATTCCTTAAAAATAAGTATTCTTATCTGGGCTTAGAGCTGTACTCCTATAATCTCAGCACTTACGAGGTATAAGCAGGAAGTCACAAATTTAAGGCCATCCAGGGCTATACAGTGAGTTCAAGGCCAGTCTGGACTACATAACAAGACTCTTGAAAATGTCTGATTTTCAAGTCATTCACTGGGGCATGCAATAGAACTTTAATCATGAGTGCTCACATTTAAAAAAATTATTGTATAATTTTCTTAGGACATCTAGCCTTATGTCATTTTCTGCTAGGTCTCCTTTATATTTCTGAGAAAACCACCTTTAAATAAATGGATTTGAAATGCGCATGAACATCTCACTTCTCTATTCCTTAGAATCATCCGATTAATATTCCTGTCTCCTTCACTTCTAATTCTGTCAAATTCCACCCCCTCCCCATGAGTGCTTCAGCCATACAAACCAAGTCTTTCTGTCTCCAGCACACCTTGTGCTGTAGAGTAATGTACCCATTACTTCTTCTGTTTCCCTACTTCCTCTTTGACCCATTCTTAGTCTTCTTTTTAGGTTTAGCATAGATGTCACTTCCTCCATGAAGTCCTCTCTGGCCTCTTCCATTGGGCCAGGTGCCTTCCTCACCATTTCCAGTGCCACCCACCCTCAGGCCTGCCCCGTGCTTGCCATGTGCCTATCTGCCCTATTAGAATGTAACTCTGGGGAGCAAGTGTTAGACCTCCCTCAGTATCAGCACACCCCTGATTGGTGACTGGACTGTAGGATAAATATTTGTTGAATGAATATATAAATACGTGGAAAAAGATGTACAATACTTCTCTTGTTTCTCCCCCGCCCCTTGGTTACCTAGCCTTTGAGAGAAACCTCAGAGCTACTTTTGCATAGACTTTCAGAATGCAAGGCAGCTCTCAGAGGCTTGAGCCCTGGGAAGGATCACAGACAGTGGATAAGGACGTCACTGATTACTTAGTAGGTAATCTGAACTCAGAGGGAAAAAGTCCAGGCTTCCGTGAGCTTGGAGCCAGAGTGCCCGTTCACAGCTCCTAATTACAGTCTGAGAATCACTGTGCCTCCTGTCTTGATAGCCTTCTTGTTTTATGACTTCCTGTCCTACTTGATGTGACAACATCTGAGATTGTTGCTTCAGAATGGCCGCTTTCCCCATGAAGATAAGTGCGTTACCTGACAGGGCTCGTCATTTGCTGTACTGCTCCTGTCAGAGCAAGATCAGCCCATCACGCAACGCTGCTTCTCTGGAATGCTGGTCATGCCCCGCCCCACCCCAATTCCACTTCTCTGGGCTCTCCTCTGAGGGGCTCATCTTTCTGATCAGACCAAGGTCATCCAAAGGAAGAAAGGATAAATCAGGCTTGTTCACAGCTTAATACTTTGTAAGTCAAGGCTCTCTGTGATACAGAGACCACTATAACCTG